GGGGGGGGAGGGGGTTGTTACTTTTGAGAGGAGGAATGAAATTGCATCAAAGGCCATAGCATCTTTAGAAAGAGTTGAAGCAACATGATGGTTTTTATAAATTTTTATAAGGAAGGAAATGTGATGGTGATTTTTATATTTTTCACAGTAAGAGATGATATAAGAGCATATGTCGGCTGCATTGAGCAGATAAATAGTTGCATCAAAGGCCATAACATTTTAAGGAAGAGTTAATTGAATCAATATGGCGGTTATGCATGCACAGAATCATTCAATTTGTATGCATACACTAGTAACTAGGGCTCCTCTGCAATAAATGCCACTTTCTCTTTTTCAGGAGGAATTGGAAACTATATAAGATCCCCTTCCAGACCTGACCAGACCAAATCAATGATTAATAGTTCTTGCATGGCAGAACTTCCTGTAAAGGTTGACATGGATAAAAACAAATATTTTCAAACCTCCTGCCACACTTGAAAGGTTTAAGTTTCATAACTTTTTCATTCACATTTTATTGTCCTAATAAATGCCCCTTGAAGCAAATGTTTAAAGCGCTGGGTGCTAATTATGGTGAATACGGTAACAGGTTTAATCTACATTGCTCTTTAGGAGTAGATTTCACATGGAGACCATTATGACTTCCTACCAACAGTCGGAACAATTTTTCAGTAACATATGCGCTGGCTAACGATTAATATTTTTTAACATTAGGTATCTACGTGGCAGATTGATCGAGTGGTTAACACTTCGGCCTTCCACGCAGACGGCTGGGGTTCGATCCTCGAAATCGTCGTACGCATGGAATATCAGAGAAAGTGTTTTTTCTCCTGCCCACACAACTCCAACAAACCAGGTGGAGTATAAAATAGCCTGGGGTGGGTGTTGCGGTATCTGTGCTGTGGCATTCAAGTAAGGTGGCACTATAAAAGATGCCGTTGGAAGCACAGTCTCATTACAAAACAGAACACAATACATCTCCAGCACACACGCAGGCATACACACATAGGGAGATATTAGCCAGGTGGCATAGGACTAATAGCTAGCGCCTGATAAGGCAGCTCCTGCAAATTCCTCAAAATTGAATTAGTTAATGTATATTTTAAATAATACAAAAACACTTGTAATGGTTTGAAAGATTTCATTACGTAAAATATATTGGAACATCGTCATTTAATAACTTGGCATAAGGGGGGCGACAAATGTGCAGGTACCCCCCCCTGGAGAAAAGCAGGTA